ACACTGACTCCCTCTCCTCCCCCCAGCCCGGGCCACATGGGCTCCCAAGGGCACCTCCAACCAAATTTACAATCACAATTCCAAAAACCAGTCCACCAGCAAAGAATTTTTTTTTTTTTAAGGCAGTCAAAAAAAAAAAAAAAAGTGCTAACCGGCAAGCCGGCTAGCTGTCAAACCTGCTCTAAGCCTCTCGAAGAGAAAAAAACTCAATCCAGGGGATGATTCTTCTACAATCTTAACTATTCAGAGCCCTTAAAGGGTTCTTTAAACAGGCTGAGACCGAGTGAAGAACTGGGGACCAGGGGGTGTGTCCTCAGTTTTCAACTCGGTCTGCAGAGCTAGGAGACTAGAGACTACCCATCCTGGATTCTCCCTTCGGCTCAGTGGAGAATCAGTACTTTTCAATCTGTTTTGGACTCTTTGAAGTTACAGGCTCCAATTTTGTTTTAGGTTATCTATTCCCTATGTCAAATAGAAACAAACTCAGTTGGATGTAATTAGTAAATATGTGTATGCCTTTTAAAATGTAAAGAACAATTATAGGCATTAACTCCCCTCCCCACTTTAATCCTACTTTGGATGAACCTTCCAGAGATGCTATTTGCCTTGGAAGAATATTCTCCCTTTGGAAAAAATGGAAAACTTTTTATTCCAAAACAAATGGGAGATAAGAAAATTGGATTCTAAATCAGGATAGTTAAAATTCCATTATTTCTCTCTATCTCTGTTACACTTCAGATGAAAAATAAATAAATAAGACATTCCTGAGATTATCTAAGATTTAATTGGCAGTTGTATGAAATGGCTCTCAACTGGAGTCTTTGACCAACAATATAAAAGTACCCAGCTGTCATTCTTATTTATCTAGGGCATTCCAATGCTATCTTCAGTAAACTCCAGTTTACTCCTGAATATGTGTCCATAGGGTTGCTAGATTCATACGTTAAGGAGATTTTGGCTGTCCATTTGTGCAATACAGCAGCTAGGGTCCATTTCTATTCCCAAAGCCCAGCCTCCACAGATTTCAAAGGGTCACACTACAACATTTATTTGCATAGTAGCATTCAAGTTAAACATCCAATGGCAAAGGTGGGACCAAGCAAGTCTGCTGTGATTGCTGATTATTACTTTTGTAATTACAGCACAGTGATTTATTTTCAGTAGCTATAAGAATGATCAATTGGAGCAAGCTTTTTGTCCCTTCTAGGAAGCAGGTTGATTGAATTCATTTGGACTTTAATGTTCTGAGAATCTACAGATTGACTGTGATCCTTTTTTGACTGCCAGTTGAGAAAGGGACTGTCCTTTGCAGAATACATGAAATTTATTTTTAATCCTCTGGCAGAGACTAGCACAACTTAAACAAAAAGTCATCTGAACAAAAAGCCAAAAGCTTTTGCACGGCTGCAGTCAAAGAAAACCTGACAATTCCTTTTGGACATGGCCTTAACATTGTTCCATAACAGCAATATTCTGTCACATCTTTTGAATGTACTCACCCAAATTACTTAGATAAAAAAATGACCAAAGTTTGAGACATTGCTAAACCCACTGATCCAGACATCTATCAAAAATGTTCTCCCTAAGAATAAGGAATGATTATATGTGTATTTAAAGTGTATATATGAAAATTATGTAATATTACTATTGGATTTAGAGATGTAATGACAATGATTGATGTTAGGGAAACTGTACCACGTTCAACGTTTTTATTGTAAGAATTGTGTCTTTGTGTTTGTTTATTTGTTCAATAAAGAATTTTTTTTAAAAAAATGTTCTCCCTCCACCCTATTCATGATAAGGAGAGCAATTGGCAGGAGTTTCTTTCCACCAGCTGGTGGTGTTGGGAAGGCAAATGAAACCAGAGGAAACCGCCAATCACTTTTCCTTAATACATTAAAACTATAAAGACAACACCATCCCTGCTTCATTACTTAGGCAAAACAGGGCAAAGTATCCTGGCTACATTTCTTCACCTTAAAGGATCAGAAGAAAACATTTTAATATAGCCACAAGGAAAAGCTTTGTAGCTCATTCATATTTAAGAAATCACACCTTTCCATTAGGGACCAGAAGAAAATATTATGCCTGGCAAGGCTGAGAAAAATAGAAGCCAGATAAAACATTATATAAGATTGATAGACAAGATTTAAAAAATGAAGAAATGCCCTTAGAAGTTATTACTGAATACTGAATTACTGAAGCCATGTTAAGTTATCAGGATTCAAACCAATCTCAATGACACCTAATGAGGTTTTTGATCACATTTTATTGTGAAATACTATGGTTCTTGCTCTTTTTAATCAAGGGCTTCATTGTTGTCATTCAACATATTAGTTAACTAGCATAAATTCTTAAAACTGCTAAGATCAACCAACTCCCCAAAGACAGCTTACAGTATATGTCTGTCCAGACTAAACAGCATCCCCAATACTCAGGAAAAAAAATATTGCAGTAAAAAAGACAAGCTATGTGTAAATGTATTAAAACAAATGAAGCATGATTTTTTAAACACGTGATTCTTTAACTTTTGCCTTCTCATTTCAGCTGTCAGTTTGAATGCAATACCTTTGCTGAAATTCAGTGAAATCTGTTTCATTATCATTCCACACACACACACACACCAAATCTAAGAGGTTTTGCTACATCTAATTTATCAACACTCTGCCAGCTAGAAACTGAAGCTGAATCATATAATAATTGAAACAGGAAACTGGGGCTATAACAAAGTTATGTTCTATAAATGTCTATAGCTCATTCTTTCTGTTTCAAGGCCCCTAGCCTAGAACCAAATAACACTTCCTTAATGGGGTGGGGTGGGGTGAGTGGTCTAATATGTATTATTAGTGTTCTTATCAGCCCAGACATCTAACAAGTTCTTGAAAGTAAACAGAGTGTGAGGCTGATTTCAAAGCTTGCTTTGTCCTAAAGCCTGGTGAATATAGGATAAGGATTTAAATTTGAATAATGAAGAACTTTCTAAGGATTGATCTACACATCAAGTTTTCCATTAATTCCTGAAGCTGGGAGAAACCATGTTGGCATAAGGGGCATGCATAAACGCACAATTGTGCCTACCATCCCTGTCCTATTGTTCCCAATTATTAGTTCCTACTTCTTGTATTTAAACTTATGTTTATTCTTGTTTCTGTTATATTGTAAGCATTTGACAAAATAAATAAATTAAATAAAATAAATAAATAAACCATGCTATTCCTACAATATGCTCTTAATGGCCATTTGGAATGTCTAATTGTTGTCTGTATACCTCTGCCTAACCCTTTAAGACAGTGATCAACAGTGAGACTCAAATGTTGTCAATCAAAGGAAAAGCCTCCACCAATTGCAAGAATAGATTGTGTGCTTAAGTGGTACTTGTAGGGTCTGGTGTTCCAGCCAACCAATTTTCTTCTATTTCTTTTTTTCCCAGCAAAGAACAATTGATCTAATATACACTATGTGCTAACAAAGATTTTGTTCTTCAGATAAGCCACTTCATGGGTTTCTTGGATCTGGAGTTCAATAAAAGAGGTTTTGATGTATGAGAGAGAAGTTTTCAATTGTGGAATATTTAGGGGTAGATACACATAGTCTCTATCCTCAGCTGAAAATGCAAATGGAGATCAAGAGTGGAAAAAATGTGACTGAAATTAAAGAGGGCCAAACTAATGCCAAAAGTTACAGTGAATAGTCTTTGAATTGACAATGAAGATACTGAAGTGGTAGACAGCTTCTCTCTTTTAAAGTTGACTATTGATAGCACAGAAGCAGTAGTCAAGAAATACATTGCCAACCAGCATTTGGTAGAGCAGCAATGAAACTTTGGAAAAGATATCCATATGGCAGGATTTGTCTATATCTGCAAAGATCAGAATTGTGCAAACAATGGTTTTCCCTGTGACATTCTCTAGAAGTGACTATGAAGCATCTGAAACAAGGTTGTTGGGTCCAATAATAAAAGGTGGACAGTTTGCCAGAGAAGGAAAGAAGCCCAAGATAACACTTCATGCTGGACTTTCTGAAACATTCAATAGAACTATTTTTTTTCTTTTCTCAATTTTAAATTTTAAAAAATTCATAAGATCCAGTACTTGAAAATATTAAAACAGTTAATATCTTTAAGATTATTTTATTAATTTCAGTTTTAAACATTTCTATTTTACTTTGAAGCCTGGAGTCCTCTCCAAGGGACTAAATATGCCAAATATTATCCTTCTTGCATAGAATATCCAGTATTAATCATAAATAGATTTAGCAGTATTGATAACAATCAGGATAATCATTGGTTCTATTGCATTATGAATAAGTTCAATATCATTATAGGTCACTGTGACCATATATTAGTTCATAAAAATTACTCAATCAGTAATGAAGCTTGTTAGTTTACCAACATCAGCATAGAAAACCAGCAAGCTGAACTTAGATTCTAATTAAGCCTTCTGCTGAAATATGTGAATTTTTGCTAAATTTCAATACTGGACCATTTCTTTGCCTAATCCAGGCCTTCTTTTACAACATTAATCTGTCCAAAAAGATTCCTTGCTAGATTCAGCACCATTGAAGAAAACATTACAATTCCTTCTTTTGAACAACAAAAACAACAAATCAAATATGCAGCATTTTGCACCCTGAGGTTAGCAATAATTTAATAATAGAAGTAGATGAAAGTGGTTGGGGAGGGGGCTCTATTATCAAGGTCCTGTTTAAAGTATTAGTTTGAACCACAGGTAGCTTTGGAAAGACTCTCTTGTTGCTCTCAGAGCCTGCTCAAAAAACTGGGTTATTTTAACAAAAAAAAGAAGAGAAAACCGATAAACACTGAAGAACAGCAGGAATGAATAATAGTCATGTAGTTAGAAAAAAAGAAACAAAACTATGCTTTACAGAGAAGCCAAGGCAACATAATCCCAGAAAAATAACATCAATAATCCAAATAAATAAATAAATAAAGCTGCAGTACTCTGATAGGTGGATGCTTATAAGGAATGTGTGTTACTTACCACAAGTTCACAAGGAAAGGGTGTTCCAGTTCCTGCATGATCTGTAACTCTTTGAAGACATTTCGCACTTCATTCCGTTCCACACATTTTTGTTTATTCATATACTTCATTGCATACATTTTCTTGGTATCTTTCTTCTGAACAATGCATACCTAAAGGAATAAGGCAAAGAATCATGTTCCATAAAATGGAAAGTGTAGAACGAATAAAACAGAAATTGCAGATCCGTCCCCAGTAAAAGTGCCGCAACTTTATTTCCCTAGTTTTTATTCTTAGGTGTAAGACATATATGATTGCCTATGAAGACCATCTGTGGGGAAATTAGTAGGCTTTCTTATGCAGCTGGTTGGCCATGGTGAGAACTAGAAAACTGGACTAGATCGGCCAGGGGTTCAATCCAGCAGGGCACTGCTGAATTTATTATTTATTAATCAAATATGAAGAGCCATCTCACCAGTTACTCTGGAGGGTACATAACAATCAAATTTTAAAAAAAACAACACAAATATAAAAATGACATATATAACATGTCTATATTAAGAAATGAATAGTATAAAAAGAAATATACAAACCCCTAGGCAAAGAGAAGATAATAATAGTCACCTTGACAAAGGAGCCATCTAAGCACACCTCCAGTTCCCTGGAAGCCCCAGGATGGATAACACAGCCTAGTTTTAAGGGCCTTTTGGGATGGAGCTAATCTCATTGTGGGAAAATTATGTTTTCCTACATTAATATTTCCACCACGACTGCTAAATTGCCAACACCGAAGCTTGTACTTTGCATGATGCATAGGAATAAGGTGAAAATATTCCATTGTTTAAAAGATGTCCTTCTAATTGATCCCCAGTTGAATTATCCCAGGAGAAGTCAGAGCCTATCTCTTAGGCTTCACCATTGTCCAACCGCTTGTCTTTGAGATAGCATACAGTACTTTTTAGTATTCAGGGCAAGATCTCTATCATTTTTCACTAGTCAATTCTGATATGAAATGGAGAACAAATGAAAATACAAGACTATAGACAGTCTCTCCCCAATTACATCTACTCAGCCCACCCGAAAGTTGGACACCTTGCAAGCCCCAACTATCAAGGAAGTACATATGGTGGGACCTAGATAAAGGGTCTTGTCTGTAGTGGCCCCCTTCTTCTGGAACATCATTCCCCCAGAGGTATGTTTGGTTCCATCTTGTTTTTCTGCAAGACTTTGAAGACATGGTTTTGTCAGTGGGCTTAGGGATCCCATTTAGAGTCCAACAAATGTTTGTCTGATTCTCTTGTTGCTGCTAGAGAGTGGGGTTGGGGGGGGAGGTTGAGTTGTGAATTAGTAATTGTGATTTTTAATGTTTTGACTATATAAATGTGTTAAAATAATTAAACAAGTTGTGCTCCAGTAAAACTAGAGAGAAGGGCTGGATAATGTTTTATGTTAGATGAGGCAACAATCCTTGGCTCCGTGGCTTGCAAGCCAGAATAAGGTTTCCTTTTTCCACAGAGGAGATTAAACTGCTGAATTTCTGATACCTTTAGCAACAGACACAATTATATTCATCCTCTTTCTTTGTTTTGCAGCCTGGGACTATGTAGGAGATATGATAAGGGATCCATTTTGTGATGGAATCCACAGGAGGTCACATTACTGACTTAGATGTGTCCTGCAGATAGTACCTGATACATTCTCTCAAAACAATACAAGCCAAGAGATTCACGAATGCTCACATCTATGGCTACAGTGGCTACAAAGAGACTTAAAATGGAAATATTATTTTCATATAAATTCTCTACAAACACAACATGATGGGAATTGGAAGAGGAAAATGAAGCAGAATGCAGCACGTCCAAATTTGCTCTACTAGAAGGTTTGCATTTATCAGAATTACACACACAGAGGCACACAGACACACACACAGAGAAATACACTCAGAAGCATGAGATTATCGATATGAATAATTTGATATCTTGTAATATTATCTGACGATCTTAGGTATACAAGGAACAAGGCTCCAGTTGCAAGTCCTTTAGAAAATAAGATTTAGAATGTAACTCTGGACAATATTTTATGCTTATTTGGTAAGAAGGAACTATTTCTTTAGGTAGTTAACAAAGTATATAGTTTGCAAAACATACCTTTCCAAAGCTGCCTTTTCCAATGGCTCTGAGAATTTCAAAATGATCAAAGGTAACTGTAGAAAGGAATAAAATATAAATAATAAATAAAAGCTCAGCAATTTAACATTAAAATCAATAACGCTCACATTATTATTTCAGAGATCCACTTATGGATCATCATGGCTAAAACTTAGCTTATTTACTCCTATAATTTATTGGAAACAATATTATTATCCTATGTTATTTCATAACGATAGCTATATCATGAAGTAAATGCTCACTTAATCTTTTCTCATTAATAGTTAAGTTATGGGTGTATTAACTATGAAAATGTTTCTTATATTTCCTTATATTTTTCATCCACCTCAAAAAAGGATGAGATATAAATCAGATTTTTTTCTCTCTGAAACCCGGCTTGATCAGCTGAAAGGATGCAAACCAGAGGTGGTATTCAGCAGGTTCTGACCAGTTCTGGAGAACCGGTAGCGGAAATTTTCAGTAGTTCGGAGAACCAGCAAATACCACCTCTGACTGGAGATTTTACAGTATCCTTCCCCTGCCACATCTACCAAGCCACGCCACAGAACCAGTAGTAAAAAAAAATTGAATCCCACCACTGATGCAAACTATGAAGTGATGCTAACTTTGAAGGGCTAGCAATAAGTGGTCAGTTGCAATAAGTCCTGGGCTGCAGCAATCTTTATCACCAATAAATGGCAGCGAATTATTAAATGTTTTCTGGATCTTTTTGCTACTCTCTAGTGATGCACCTGCATTTTTAGAGGCAAGCTATGGTAGATCGTGTGGGAAAATAGTCATTGTCTTTACTATTTATTATTTTGAATTGAAGCTTTGAACAAAATGTAGCACCTGGAATTTCATCTGCTAAATCTGCCAGAATTAAGCAATTTGGAAAAAAGTTTTACTTGCAGTTAAACTCAGGAGCCAGTTTGTTGTAGTGGTTTAAGGCACTAGGCTAGAAATGAGGAGGGGAGGTCATGAGTTCTAGTCCCAACTTAGACCCAAAGCCAGCTGGGTGACCTTGGGCTAGTCACTCACTTTCAGATGTAATAAACAGACTGTGGAAAAGCATTCCTGAAATTCTGCCATTTGTGATGGTCAGGGATTAGTCCAGAAGTCAATATTTGAAAGCACCAAAGAAAAAGAGAAAGAAGAAGGAGCAGCTCAGGGGGTATGTTTGGTTTTTTTGTTTTGTTTTGGAAATGCACTGAGCTTTTAAACTATTCCAGGCCTTTTGATCAGAGGGAAATCAGGAAGGAAGGAAGGAAGGAAGGAAGGAAGGAAGGAAGGAAGGAAGGAAGGAAGGAAGGAAGGAAGGAAAGAAGGAAGGAAGGAAGGAAGGAAGGAAGGAAGGAAGGAAGGAAGGAAGGAAAAGAAAGAAAGAAAGAAAAGGAAGGGAGAGAGGGAGGAAAAGAAAGGAAGGAAGGAAAGAAGAAAGGAAGGAAGGATAGAAAAAAAAGGAAAAGGAAAGGAAAAAGAAAGAAAGAGCATGAGTCCAGCCCACTCATCATACTTGGCATATGCTAAACAGCATTTAAATTTCAGGGTGATTAAAAAGACTAAATCAACATATTGGCCTTAATTAACGTGACCTCAGCACTGTCAGGCATTGCCCAAGCGACACTCTGAAATTGCAGCATTTCACATCTCATCCATCCCATCAATTAAAAAGCTGGGTAAACCATTCATCTAATCTGCTTATTGCTTTGGATGGCAACAGGAGAAATTGTGAAGAGGTCTGTAAACAGCTCCCAAAAAGACAGTGAAGTAAGGGTAAAAGTTACACTGAATGTGGCATAATAATGCCAACTGTACAATGCAGTTTAAAGTCTTTATCAGATCATAAACAAGATGACTGCACAGGAATTGTACAAAGTCAATTACGATTTGTACAGCGCAATCTTCCCAGAATTGTGAACTGCCATGCTGGTTGACTATTCTGGAAATTGTAGTCACACCACATGTGGGTGGATAAAATCACCTGTGGGTTGGGTAAAACTGGGAAATAGATTTTGAGAAGCAAGCTGCAAATCATAAGAGAATGCTAATGCACTGGTGCCTCACAACCATTCCACACTACAAACAAAAATCTACTTAACAATATGGAGGGGAAAAAACCCCTCAGTTTCTTTCTCTGTTGTCTCAATAACCTGGAATATGGCTCAATGCCTTGAACTCAGCCAATAGCCAGGATTCTGGCACAGAGAAGAAGGCAGATCCTCCAGCCTCAAGGAATTGGAAACTATAAATCAAGGGAATAGCCTGTCAGAATAGCTATCCTTTGAAATACTGGTCTTTACTTCCTCCACTGCCACTTTCTTGGAATACACATAAAATGGGGAAATGATTGCCAAAATACTACCAGTGATAACTTCAGAGAAAATGGTTGCTGGGACTTAGCCACGGTCTTATAATTCATGCCCACCCTAATGCTCCAGTCCCCACCTGGGTTAGCACAGATAACTAATAGCTAAGCCCCTCAGATTTGCCCGGCCAAATTGTTTTCTTTCCACAAAAGATGTGGAGACAGACACTACCAGTTGTAGCTCTCATTTAACAATGGGAACAGTGAGATTGAAATTATTTTCCATGTTCACTCATCTCTGTGCTGGCCTAGTCGTTATAAGTTTGCATTTCTCTGTTACTCACAAAGATTGCATCAAAAGGAGCAACATTTGCAATACAAACAAGTACTCCCACCCTTGTGTACTATCAAAATCAGAAAAGCAGAACTAAGAAAGAGCAGGACTAAGCCTCCGCATTTGCTAGCAAAAAATTAAACATCGTCTTAAAAGTATTTGCTGTCATGCTATAAACACAAAAATAATCCTATGTATAGGATATTCAAAGTATCTTCTTTCAATTATTTTTAAAACTTTCCAGTCTATAACTCTTGAGATTTTCTGGTAATATCCCATTGAAGTACTAACCACAACTGAGCCTGGTTAGCTTTTCCAAGTTATAACCAAAAAATCCGGGGATTGAAATAATATCTAGGCTATATCACTGCAGCTATTTTAAATTTTAAAAAATGGAAAAAAGTGTTTTAAAAATTCTCTGTATATTAAGGAGAAATGTCCCAACCCTTCTTCCTTTGAGCTTTTCTATGTGAAGGAATCTTTTTTTATATGAAAAAATGTTCTGTTGCAGTATAGTATAGCTCAAATTCTTCATTGTGAACAGTTTCAATGGATCTAGAGAAAGAACAGTGTCAATTATGTATTACTAATTGGAAAATTTCATCATACTACAGAATCTGAAATAAAACCAAGTACAAAGAACTTATATTCGTATTATATTATCAACTCTTAACAAATTCCATTAAGAAAAGACCTAGGTGAAAGAGAACCTTGCTTAATCCCAGCAAATTAGGGATGGAACTAGTATGTTCCAGCAAACAACTTTTGTTTTTAAACTTTCCATAATCAGCAGCTGTGCCTTCTCTGAGTAGATACTGTGGAAAAATAATGCCATCATTGTTTTCCTACCTGTACACTAAATCTCTAGAGATAACTGTGTAAAGGAAAACAATTGTCCTTTTCAAGAGTTGTGGCACTGTATATTCTGGAATATGTTCTAGATAAATAACTTATCCAAACTATACACTGTGTAGGAAGAAAGACACAAATTCCTTGGTAAATAGCAATGCTCTTCTACATTAGGAGTGGCGGGGGGGGGAGGATGCATGTGTAGCATTCTACCACAATAGACAGAAGTCCTCAGAGGCAGTCCAACATATATAAAGATAGTTTGCAAGATGCAAGCAGGAACAGTGTACACTGACTGGCACAACTTACAGGCAGGTATTGGCCAATCAATCAGACACTGTGATAGTAGACAAGGACCAGAAGATAGATGGTAATAGATGTAGCAGTACCAACATCAGAAAGTATTAAAAAATGGAGAAGTACCAGGGCCTGAAGGAGGAACTAGAGAGGATAGAGAAACTAAAGGCCAAAGTGGTAGGAGTATTCAGGGCTATAACTCCTAAGCTGGGAGAGTGGTTCCAATAGATCCTAGGAAGAACATCAGAGCAATCTGTCCAGAAGAGTACAGTGCCAGGAGCAGCTAAAGACACTGTGACAGAACCCTCAAACTCCCAAACCTCTAGTACAGGACCTGAGATTGAGGAAAATACCAACCACCCATAGGGGTGAGAAGGGAATTTACATAAAAAATAAAATGTTGAAATCCAGGTATTTCTACGAGGAGATTGATCAAGAGATTTGCTAACACTTTAAATATTTTTGAAAAGCAGGCGTATTTTGGAATTGCATGAATAATATGGCTACTAGGTAGAAAGTAGTTGCTTTTCCTAGTATAGTCATGGTAGCGCTGTCAGTCACACAGCAAAAGAGTCAAATGGATAATGGAATCTGGAAGGGCACAGATACACCATAACTTTATGCTCCATGTTGGGAATTCTGCTTGTTCAGAGAAAAGTCATTAGGAATGTAAATAGGTTTTTCTGGCCAATTTCATTTTGATATTTTCATGTACAGAGAAATAAAGTGATCTGCACAAGCTTCATTGTACAACCATCCTAAATATTTTTTTTGTACATGAAATTTGTACTTTGGAAAATATTTTACTTAGGTTTACTTTATAGGCTCAACCCATTACTACAATAAATAAATTCCATGCCAGCTGTGGGGTGTTTGGTCTTTGTGAAGAACATATACATGAGGAGGAGAGAAGTATGCAATGCAAATTTGAATCTAATTATCATTATATCTTTTATGAACAAAACATGCTGCTTCTAAGCTTTGTGAAAACCTAAGCTGGAAAGCAATACAATAACCGTGACCCATCGGATATAAATTCTATGGTCTATGTTTTGGTAGGCTTTACTTTTACGATAACTGGGATATTATTACAAGTCAAAGATGTTTTGACCAAGAGTCCCTGAAATGTAATCCTTTAACTGTGAATATTAACATGCAGGATCTTCAAGAAGATATTTCATATGACAACACTATTAATACAATTAAGTTAATAAAAAAAACATATGTAAAAGTCCCTTCATCAAGTATATGAAGTTGCACAAAACAAG